GAAACTGCGCCCGAACCCCGAGAGAATAAAAGGGCAAATATTTCAAAGCATACGATCATACGTTTTCGTTGCTTGATTTCTTTACTTTTCTGTTGCTATAAGAATGTGCAGTTTGCATGTTTGTATAATTTAAAAGCAAACAGAAACCATTTTTGCAAGTGTTTTGAAGTATATGATTCTCAAAGATGATTGTACAGAACGGCCACTCCTTGCAATCGAAGAGTGAAGGCGGAAGTGGAAACATGTAATATGAGACTTTCCCATACCCCTCCACAAGAGGGAAGAGCCTGGAAACGAGGTTGCCTCTTCCGCAGGCAACTCTGTATCAATTTTGTATAACAGGTTTTCAACTCTTATTTGTTTTGTATTGTAAATGCATTTTTTAAATGCTCAAATTTTATAAAACCTGTTATACAAAACAATACAGAGTACAAAACAATACACGGTTGCCTGCGAAGGAGGCTAGAGCGGAACTATGGGAGATACGTTACAACCATTATGGTGCAACCTAATGACAAAACCGGCATGTCTGCGAGTTTTTCTGTCACCGTTTAGGCTAACCTCGATGTTCGGCACCACGACGCTCGCGCATTTTCATGTGTCTTGTAAGGTTATCTATGAAAATATAAATTAGAACACTATGCTATGTTTTCCCAAACGAAAAGTTCTCTGCAAAAGAAATAATTTTTACCAAAACAAGATAAATTGTTGTGTTCGTTGTCGAGTAAAAACTGTGTAGATCAAATGTTTGGAAAATTACTAGCGACGTTAACATGGGACGCTACAGGCGGTCCAATCTCGCAAGAGTCAGTATAGACTTATAGTTTAATATAGTTATAGTGATGTATATTATAGTAAAAGTATGTCATAAAATATAAATTTTAAAATGAAATTGACTTGCCTACTTGATAGTGTGTGTTCTTTTATTCCTCTTTTGTTGGACTAATATTTTCTGCTGCTTTGCACTCGATGGCACTAGGATACATAGATACTAGGCCTACATGATAAAGGCAAACTACTTACAATCGTCGATCCGTCTGCAGCAGTATTTCGAATCGAAAATTCGCCCACTCAAACACAGGGAGCCCATCCCGTGTCTTATTGAAGTTATGCATTAGAATTACGTATGAAATATATAGCTCAGTGTTTGAAGCCTGCAATTTGCGGGCTTGTGCTGGCTAACGCGCGCGTTGAATACACAATAAAGAAAATAATATTATTTTCTTTATTGTGTATTCAACGCGCGCGTTAGCCCGCACACAGAACGCAAATTACAGGCTTCAAACACTGAGCTATATATTTCATACGTAATTCTAATACATAACTTTAATAAGACACGGGATGGGCTGCCTGTGACTCAAATCGCTTTATTCTACAAAAAATTCGTCAGCATGTAGAACAAATGTCGTTCTTCGAAAATACGGCGAGATGTACAAGTTTTGGACCATATTTTAACAATGGCAATCAAAAGTCAAAACCCATTTTATATTGAAATTACAAAGACCGACGATTACTACCGCGAATGCCGGGGCAACCAGGCTTCCTTTACCGGAAGAGATTATTTCGCCGGCCTCAAAGTGACAAAACGTAACCAAACAACTGTTTTACTAACACTAACCCTATTCCAAACACCAACTCTAACCCTAATCCTAACTCCAACCCTATTCCTAACCTAACCCTACTCCAAGTTTGCTTCTAAACCAATCTTGAAGAAAAAAGTTTTGACGAAATGTCATTCTGAGGTCAGCGAAATAGTATTTTTCCTCCTATACTGTTTGGATTTACGGGGGGGAGAGGTTACATTAGTTCGAAATATAATCGTTATATCAAAGGAAATATAGACATCATAAATTGTTTTAAATACATTTCTTATAACATGCGTGCATTGATTTATTATCCCCTGCTGGACTGACTGATTGATGATATCATTCATTCATTTTCGAAAATAAAATATACTAAACAAAACCAAAAAACGTAAACACCCTGACAACCAAAGATGCATTTCGCACTTTGAATTAGCTGACTTGCATAACTGTGATTGTAATGAAGAAACGTAGACTGCAACTACTCTCCGCAGAGGCGTCTTAATGGCTCGTAGGCTCGGACATGGCTCGTGAGGAGGGTGCTGGTGCAGGCATGTCAGGGGCGCGACAGTGCTTCCGAAGCGGAGCGGGACAGTTCCTTTTTCCCCCTATACGTCAAATGATAAATATAACCCATATATACATGCAATGGTTGATAACTAAAAATAAAGTTGTGAAGATTCCTATACAGTCTCAATATTTTTCCTTGAATAGATCTGGCGTTTTTTGGATCAAGCATACTCTTTGGAGAATATGATGGTGGTGCATTAATAAAATCGTGGATTGGGGGAGTTGTTGCAGCAAAACTGTGTTGGCGTGCAACACGAGATGGATGGGCAGCCAGTACCTTCCATAGCAAGTGCGACAACAAGAAACCAACAGTTACCCTGGTTAAAGTTGGCAGTTTTATTTTTGGCGGATATGCTACGGAGTCTTGGGAAGGTGAGACTATATTATTTTAGTATAAATTTTGCATACCAAATTAATGAGCTTTCGCGTCTTCTGATTGGCTAATCGACAAAAGTAAATCTGACGCAATATATACTATGAATAATGTTTACACGTTTTGTTTTACTGTTATTACATGACATTACGTGATGATTTGCGAATGAACTTCATGTAAATATTAAAAATGGCGAAACTAAAAACGAGGATACAACGTTACAGCACAATTAAGAAATGATAAAGAATAAAAAAAATCAGAATTACTGAAAAGTTTCAACTGCTATTTAAAAGATTTATTCAACATCAATGTTCTAAAAATGTCTCAACTCTCAAGTCAATATATAAAGTGTTGCCTTTTTGCCACATGAACCGAATGCAAAAGTTTATATACTTCTAGAGAATTATCTAAAGGGAAGTTTACTTTGACCCAATGGCCTCATTAATTTCCACTTTTCATCATTGGTAGCATGGCAGGCCTGCACATGAAGATTATATCCCCACCTTGTAACAAGTCTGATAGTATGACAAAGTTGTTACAAGTTGTTAACAGCTTGTTCCAAACTTGTTGACAACTTGGGACAAGCAGTGCGAACACAACTTGTTGACGGCTTGTTGGCAGACTTGCTACAAGATGTGAGATTTTTGCGTGTGTATGAAAACCCGATATTTTGAAAAATTCAAAATAAATATTTTTACTCGGCGTATTCAAATGAAACTTTCTACATGAAAGCGCTTCAATACAAGGTGCATTTTACTCACATTGACTCTGAACAAATTCTGAAAAGTTTAGAAGATATTCAAGTTTTTTTCTCGATAAGAAATACAGAATGTTTGGCCAAGTGGTGAGTAAATACAT